AGGGTACAGAGCTGTTAGCCCATGAATTGACTTTAGTACACGCTGAAGTCCGTACTCTTCACAAGGCAAATGAAGCACTTAGCAAACGCCGTAGAGCTAAAAAGACACGTATTCGTCAAGGGGGTGTACTTACTGTCGAGGATGCGCACGATATTCTAAGTCAAACTGAGGTAGACGAGCAGATTCGACGTGATAGGCGTTTAGGAGGGGGTGTTCAAGGCAAAGGGAATCTGACCGTACGACGCTGTGGCACTTGTGGAGAGACTGGTCATAATTCAAGAACGTGTCAAGGTACTATTACTATATAACCTTTAGTAGATCCGCAATTAGTTTAGTTAAATTTACTTCGTTGTTGTTATTTAATATTAATTCTTCGTACGAAGGTAGGAAAAAGTTAACCGGGTACTGATATTAACCGGGTACTGATAAACCACGTTAGTTATATAAAGGATAAGACTTACCTTTGAATATTTTCAAATATTTTAAAGTTATTTAAAGTTTCCTTTAACGTACATGTATAGCGAAAGCGCCAAACAAGCGAAAGCGCCAAAATGATGCGGTGACCAAACCCCCCAACTAAATGTTAAATTCCTCAACAACAAAACATGCCCCATAAAAACGATGAAAGCCAATTAGTGCTAGCTATCCAGGCTATGCAAAGCGACCCAAAGTTACGCCTTCGAGTTGCTGCTAGGATCTATTCTGTGGACCACCGCAAGCTAGGTCGTCGTCTAGAAGGTGTACCTTCACGACGCGATATCCAAGCCAACTCACGGAAATTAACTAACCTAGAGGAGTCCGTCCTTGTTCAGTATATACTCGACCTAGCTGCCAAAGGGTTTCCTCCTCGGCTGTCTATTGTTGAAGATATGGCAAGTCGACTACTTGCAACACGCGACGCGTCACGCGTTGGGTCGCGTTGGGCTTCAAACTTTGTTAAGCGGCGTGTAGAGCTCCAGACACGCTTTCAGCGCAAATACGACTACCAGAGGGCTAAGTGCGAAGATCCAGAAGTTATTAATGGCTGGTTTGAGCTTGTGCGTAACACAATTGCGAAATATGGTATCGATGAAGCAGATATCTACAACTTTGATGAGACTGGGTTTATGATGGGCGTTATCTCAACTGCTATGGTTGTAACAAGCTCAGACGGGCGGGCAAAAGCAAAGAAGGTACAGCCTGGTAATCGGGAATGGGTTACAGTAATCCAAGGCGTTAGTTCTCAAGGTTGGGCAGTACCACCATTTATCATTGTTGCAGGCAAAAACCACCTTACATCTTGGTATGAGAATAGTGGATTTTCAAGCGATTGGGTGATTTCTGTTACTGAAAATGGCTGGACTACAAACGAGAGAGGCATGGATTGGATTCAGCACTTTGAGAAGCATACAAAGGCCCGGAGTGTTGGTGGTTATCGCTTGTTAGTCCTTGATGGTCATGAGAGCCATCACTCAGATGAGTTTGAGGAGTACTGCAAGGAACACAACATTATTACGCTTTGTATGCCTGCTCACTCTTCTCATCTACTCCAGCCACTTGATGTTGGCTGTTTCGGCCCGTTAAAGCAGGCCTATGGTCGGCAAATTGAAGATATGATGCAGGCTCATATTTCTCATATTACAAAGGATGACTTCTTTCCTGCCTTCCACACTGCATTTAACACTACAATGACGGAAAGTAACATTCGAGGCGGGTTCCGAGGGGCAGGGCTTCTTCCATTTGACCCTGAGAGAGTGATATCTACACTTGATCTTAAGTTAAGGACACCAACGCCTCCAAGCTCCCGCCCAGGTACTGCTCAACCTTGGGTTTCTCAGACACCAAACAACCCAATTGAAGCTATGTCACAGTCTACATTTATTAAAACTCGGATTTCACGCCATCAAAATAGCTCTCCAACCTCAATCTATGCAGCTGTTGACCAGTTTACAAAGGGTGCATCTCAAATAATGCATCAATTAGCACTGCTAAAGGGAGAGAACCAAAACCTACGACAGGCAAATGAAGTACTAAGCAAGCGCCGGAGAGCTAGGAAAACACGACTACAGCAAGGAGGATCACTTAGTCAACAAGGGGCGCAAGAGCTACAGGATGAGAGGGATGTTGTGCAGCAGGTAGAGCAGGAAATAAGGGCAAGCCGTGGTCGGAAGCCAAGGGAAGAAACCCGTGCCCGTCGCTGTGGCAAGTGTGGTGAGACTGGGCACAATGCGCGCACGTGTCAGATTGTAATAGACACCTCTGAGGAAGAGGACTCCGAGTAGTTTCAATTGATTTCTAATGTTGTGGTAGATTTATCGCAATGTTTGTCGTGAGGGTAGATAATTTTGGCGCTTTCGCTTGTTTGGCGCTTTCGCTATACATGTACGTTAATACTTGAAATAAATATTTCCCTATATGATTTTCTTGTAAATCAACTATATCTAATAACTTTGATTTTGAAACAAAGTTCTTAGTAATCCAATGTCTATTAAATATTAGTACAAATTAAATATAATAAAGAATAACTTACACTCTAATTCCTAAGTACTCTGTTTGATTACTTGCTGTCTATGCATCTAAAGTAAGAGAAATCTTTCCTTTATTTGCAATATGATCTTCAAATTCTAGCATTAAAGCTTCTTTAGATATATTATAATATATATATAAAGGGTCTATAATGCTTTGTCTATATAGACTTGGAATTTGGTCACCTCTATAAAATAGTTAGTATAATGTATAATATTAACATTAACATAAAGAGTTACTTAGCCCTTTGTATATACTAGTAAATCTTTAAAAGACTTACTAGTAATACAATTAATAGAGAGATTATTAGAGATCATAATACAGTCATAATCTGTTAAGTTGATAGCTCGGGTCCCGTAAATACCATCGAGATAGCGTAAATATCGAGATATCACACGTATTTTGGTAGTGGACAGGGGGTTTGAGGCCAGCAAAACGTATTGACATAACGTGAATCGAGTATCGAATTAATGCGTCATGACTGTAGCATACACCTATTCGTACGAGATGAGGCTATAAACTCAATAACCTCTTAAACTTGCTCATTAGATAGAATAAGTGGCCTACCTAAATGCTTCTTTGGAGTTGGAGGGCCCTAGCAAGCATACTAAGCCTGCCGTTCTATGTATCCAATATAGGCTGTAATTTTTTTGGAACTCCCAATCTAGGGAGCGTAGTACTGCGTAACGAAGCCGCTCATTGTGAGTAAGATGAGGCATCGTAGTTATTGAAAGAGTATGAATTTCCTACATGTAAAATACAATACAGTAGAGTCCCGCTAAGCCGATGCTCAGTAAGGCGATGTTCACGATAGTGCGATATTTTTTCTTGTCCAGAAACATGTACAACGACCGATATCCATGATATTGCTCTGTTACCACCTAAATATCGGCTTATCCGATATTCTAGTGGACCATTTGGCTATGCCTCGAATTAAGCCCATCACTATTGAGCAGCGTCGTGCACTCAGAGAGTGGCATTCTCGACAATACCCTCGACCCTCACAAAAGGCCTGTCAGCGGTGGTTTAAGGACAAATACAACCATTCCCTCAGTCAATCAACAGTCTCAGAGTCACTCAGCAAGCATTTTGACAGTGTCGACGACTCCTCAGCTATCTCAACAGCTGCTCTGCACTGGAACATGGCCTGACCTTGAGGAGACCCTTTTCGCTTGGCAAAAGTAGATTGAAGGCCAAGGTGGAAACACAAGTGGAGAGGCTTTGAAGGAAAGGGCAAGGCAGATTTGGCAGCAACTTCCACAGTATTCAACGCTGCCTATACCTGATTTCTCAGTTGGTTGGCTGTCTCGATTCAAGAAGCGACACAACATCCGACAGTATACAAATCACGGCGAGGCAGGATCTGTTAGCAAGTCTACAGAAGAGGATATGAAGGCTTTACAAACTCTAGCTGGAGAATATCAAGAGGAGGATATATACAATATGAATGAAACAGCATTGTTTTGGCGAATGGTTCCATCTAAAGGTCTTGCAACCCAATCACAGCCAGGAATCAAGAAGAATAAAGATTGAATAACTCTTGTTTTCTGTGTTAATGCAACTGGTACTGATCGCTTTCCTGTTTGGATAATTGGCAAAGCAAAGCAACCTTGTGCACTTCAGAATATCAATGTCTCAACAATGGGTGGAGAGTGGCGGTGGAACAAAAAAGCTTGGATGAACACAACTTTAATGAAGGAGTGGTTACAAGCCTTCTATCGACATATTGGAACATCTCAAACTGTCCTTCTCTCTATGGATAACTTCTCTGGCCATTATTGTGGTCTTGAACTCAATCCTCCGCCTCCAAATATTCGAATCTGCTGGCTTCCTCCTAATTCAACAAGTCGATTTCAACCTCTTGATCAAGGAATCATACAGTCATTCAAAGCTCATTATCGTCGGCAATGGCTCTCATTTATGTTACAATGTTTTGATTCCAACATTTGATCCAGTTCAATCAATGAACCTTCATCTTGCTATTCGATGGACTTTGTGAAGCTGGAATGTCTACTTACAAAGCGCAACAATATATAATTGCTTTCGAAAAAGCACACTTTTAACTACACCACTTGCTCTTTCAATACCAATTAATCCTCCAAATCTATCTGAATTATATGATAACGTTACAAGAGCTGGAAATATACAAGATGCGATGGCATTACACAATTTCTTAAATCCAGATGAGGAAACACAAGCCCAGAATAATGATGGTGAGACACTAACAGAGGAGGAGGTATTACAAGATATTATATCAAGTCATTTAAGTCAATGTGATGATGCTCAAAATGAAGAAGAAGAAGAAGCCTTAGAGCGGCCTGTACCTTCAATACAGGGCTGCTCGACAGGCTGTTCAAATTCTAATTGAGTTTACAGAAAGTCGAGATGATATCCCAACAGCACAATAAAGAGCTATTGAGCGATAAGATGCAGATTTGGAGGCATTGGATGTTAATGGCAGAGTTCAAAGCAATCTAGATAGTTGGATTATATAAGCATTCAGTTGTGCGATATATTCATTAAGGCGATATTAAATTGGTGGCTAGATTCCATCGTACTAACGGGACTCTACTGTAGTAGGAATTTTGACGCGTTAAAATGGTTCAAACAAGCCTACGCGTACCCATGCTCCAACCCAACAACACCTCCGTAAGTGTAAAAACCGTAGATTAGTAAGCCGGAGCTCATGGGACCCGTGGTCCCGAAGTTGCTTAAGACTAAATCAATCAATCAATCTTGATCCCGTTTCTCAGGCACGAATCGTGGTGAACGGGAAAACAATCCTCGGATTTTGGTAACCGAAATCGCGAAAATTACAAAGAGCATCCAGGAAACACGAACCCGGATGCACCAAGATTGTGGATGGTCCAAATGACCGTTAGACCATCAAAGATATTGATTGTTTAGGGGAAATGTAAAATGGTTGATTGCTCTCAGTCATTTAGAAAAAAAAGGTTCTTTCTTCGGCGAGGAGTTATGAGTGCGCCCCTGATAAGGCGTCATCGCCCGCTAAAAGGTACAGGAACCAAACTCTGAAAACCGCTCTTTGCTTTTTCCTGGAACCCGCGCAGCCACCGACATACAAACAGACCTTCCTCTTTATATCAATTTATTTAAAAGGAGCTTCGCATCGCCAGGCCCTTCATCCACCACCCCCGATCCCTCCGACCCAAAACCCTCACCTAGAAAAAAATGGCAACGTATGCACCACCCACCCCTACCCCGCCACCGACCCCGCCAACAAGGCTCCGCAAACAAAAACCACAACTGACATCCCTAACAGCAACATCACCTGGCACGAGTCCCTCCGCCGCAGTGAGCGCGAGAGGCTGCGCGGACAGCGCGGATACACGATCTGGTTCACTGGTCTCTCTGCCTCTGGCAAGTCGACCATCGCGACGGCGCTGGAGCAGCACCTACTACACCTTGGTGTGGGCGCATACCGTCTCGACGGAGACAATGTGCGCTTTGGGCTGAACAAGGATTTGGGCTTCTCGGAGGCGGACAGGAATGAGAACATTCGCAGGATTGCGGAGGTGAGCAGAGAGAGTATAAGGGGTAGCGTGGGCTGACATGGCGTTTGTGTTATAGGTAGCGAAGCTCTTCGCTGATGCTTCGACTGCGACTCTCACATCTTTCATCTCGCCTTACAAAGCTGACCGCAAGATCGCCCGCGACTTGCACGCCACCGTTGCCGCAGGCGACGAGCCAATCCCCTTCATCGAGGTGTACGTGGACATCCCCATCGAGGTGGCCGAGCAGCGCGACCCCAAGGGCCTGTACAAGAAGGCGCGTGCGGGCATAATCAAGGACTTCACCGGCATCTCTGCGCCTTACGAGGCCCCTGATGCGCCGGAGATCCACATCCGCTCTGACCAGGTCAGCGTTGAGGAGGCGGTGGTGAAGATTGTCGAATACCTGATGTCGAAGGACCTGCTACCGGCGGCTGCGCTGAAGAACTAGGGAAGGGGTTGAAGATATTTACGATTACGATGATGGATCTAGAAAGTAAAATATACTTTTTTTAGTGTTTCATTTGGTGCTGCTGGCTTGTGATTTGTACAGTACAATGCTTGCTTTCGTGATCCCATCCAAAGGGGGTATGGCTCTTGGCTTCATCTCTATATGACCTCAAACTCGTAGCATACGTATGCTGTGTACTCGTTGCCCTCTCCATGCCCGCCCACGCCTAATGCACTCATTTCTGACGACAGTGCTGAGTCGTCCTTGGTGACTCGCCCCTTCTTGTCCCTGCCGAATGCGTTGCCCCCTAGATACGAGTAGGCTGAGTCTAATGCTGTTCTTGCCTTCTTTGCTAGTTTTGGGTTGGTCTGGTGAACGTTAGTACCTGGGTGGGGGGAATATAAAGGGCATCTGCCTGTGGAGGACATACCTTGACCAGGGCGCAGACAAACCCAAGAGGCAATCCGTATCTCAGGACCGTCTCGACAAAGACACGCAGACACAGCACATGAATCCAAATCATAACACTCTCACTCCAACCCGTCCTCGCCAACCTCAACACCTCCCCCCACACCTTCCTCTCATCCTTGCTCACCCTATCAATCTCCTTCTTCTCCTCCTCGCGGCCGCCCTCAACATACTTGTAATCACGCGGCGTCCAGCGCTGCTCGCGGCACTTCTGCACGAACTCGGCGCCGAACTTCTTGAACACCGTCACCGTATACAGCGTCAGCTCCTCGTCGTTCGCGACCTCCACCGCCGACCGCGGCACCACCATCTGCGATATGGTCTCGTAGCTGCGAAGGAAGTCTTTCTTGGCTAGGTTTGGGACGACGATTAGGTGCGTCTCGAGGAATTCGGAGTCCTGGATCAGGAGCTTGGGGTCCACGACTGGGGTGAGCGATTTTGTAGCCAGGTTTCCGCTGGGAGGCGTATTAGCTGTCGGTATAAGGATGCGGAGCGGAGAAAATCTTACGTTTGCTTTCTTTGTAGAGTGGTAAGCATTGTCTTGATTGAGTTGTACTGGGTGTATTTGCTCTTCACATCATTGTCGATACCGAGCAGTTCCTACATCAACCCGTCAGCCTCTGTGTCCACGCCATCAATCCGCCTCACTCACCTTCTGCAACGAGTCAATCAGTTCCCTCAACGGCTTATCCGTACGGTACTTAACCGTATTCCACGTAAAGTTCCCTAAATACTGATCCGCAGGCTCTGCACCAAATCAGCACAAAATCCCCCAACCCAGTCTCCACAAGGGGGAGTCCATACTATCATTCACCGTCTTCTGCGGCCCAATCTTCGCCTCATCGCCCTCCAAAATCGTCCTCAGCGTATCTCCCACCTTCGCCACGACGCCCTCGCACGCGTTCTCCAGCTTCCCCAAATCATCCGCTTGCTGCACCAGCGCGTCGAGCGTGCCGATCTTGAAGTGCGGGACCTTGAAGGGGGCGACGGCGCCGTTGTCGCCGACGGTGGAGCGGAGGGCGGACAGGGCGTCGGCCTGGTCGTTGGATGGCGCGATCGAGGTTGGGAGGGAAAGGAGGAGGTATTTCGTTGTGTTCGCCATTTTGGCAGGCCGCGGAGGGCGGTTGGGGATGGCGGAGGGGAGGTGCGAGCTCCTGATGTTTGGGGTTGCGGAGGGGGAGAGAGGGGAGGGGAAGATGGTGGGGGATGTGTCGTGGTGGGTTTGGAGCTGGGAGCTTGAGTGAGCTCTGGCTTGGCTGACTTTGATAGAGGCGATAACCGATTACGGGTGCCTCTAACCCAATCCGAGGAGTTTAAACCCTCAGGACCCTTGTGATCAATGGAGCCTTTTTTAGGCTTAACGTATTTCTCAAGCGAGCGGGTCACCCAATTGAATGAGTCAGAATAATACGAAGACGCGACAACTTCGTACGTATTACGCGGTGGGCGCAAGCGAGTTGCATCGCGAAAGCGAGTTGCATCGCCCCAGATTTCTCAACCACCCAATTTGTATTGCAATTGAATCGTAGACTATGGGAAATATTTTACCACTACAAGTATGAAAACGCATCTTGAATTGAATCTTCATCTTCTTCGTCTTCTGACGCAATTGAATGACGGCCCCATATATTTGTGCCTTCGAATGATATGAAATCCTGTTCCGACGTAAATTCCTGAAGTCCTGGATCAATGACACCAATTGCACCTAGTTCCTCATATTCAAATGAGACCCCATTAAATTCTGGGAGGGATATAAGAGCTTCCTTAACCTGTATATCAATCTCTTTATCGGTTATAAGCTTTTCTGGGTCCGGGATTGGATAATAGCTCAATAGGAATAGCTTCTTTCCTCCATTTGAAGTTTAGAATTGTCCTTTGACGTTCCTTCTCTGATTTCCGTGCAGCAACCCCTTGGATATGATACTTCTTCTTAATCTTATTTGTTGTAATTCGTATAAGATATTGTCGTCTTTTGATCCTATCAACCTGCTCCTTTTCACGCTTGTTTTCCTGGATCTGTCGTGCCTGAGTTCCTGTAAGGACCCCTCCTTTTTGTAAGACCTTCTGATTCCCTCGAATCCTAGACTTCTGTTGATTTTGAACCCTATTATGAAGGTCTTCGTACTGCCGGTCCCGGACTTCTGCAGTCAGAAGGACGTTCTGGACCCCTCGTATTGTAGAGTCAATTTTCCGGCGTGTAGGACTACTAAATATATCAATCTTCTCTGAGATTTTTGATGCTATTTCTTGAAGAGATCTCTCAGCTTGAACACCTCTTACTGGTGTTTGAGGACAGGGTAATTCAATCGCTGTCGCCATTGCCATTGCCATCGCTGGTACCATATACGTCTTCATTTTCTTAAGAGCTTTCTGGCAATTAATTGGCCAGATCCCAGACTTTCGGAAGGCACCTTGAATAGTCTCTTTTTTCATAGTCTTTTCCCTGCTTTCCATTAAGTCCCGGAAGAACGATGAAACTGTATATTCAATATCTAGACGCTGGGTTGCATCTTGTACAGCCTTCCGGTGCCAGTGTTTATACGGCTGAAAAACACCGACATCAAGAGGTTGAAGAACATGCGTCAAGTGGCTAGGAAAAGGAAACGGGTGTATATTAGCTTCTGTAGCTTTAATAATAAACTCCGGGGTCATATGACTACCGTGTTGATCCATTAATAGAACCCTAGGACGTGCGTTTGCCCCAGCTTGTATATGAAGGATCAAGTGATCAAGATATTCAAGAGCTAATTGAGAGTTGATATATCCGGAATCAGACATTAATACCCTTGTATTTCCATCTAATAAGGTATACCAATTCGTCATATGATTCACACCTTGTACAATTAGAACAGGAGGAATAGTTGTTCCATTTGCAATAATCGATTCTATAACGGTAATAGAACGTCGATTTTCAGGGCTAGGTGTATACAAGGCTATAGTTTATTAGCTATACTATATTTTATATTATAACTGGAATATACATACATCTACTATCCAGGTAGGGACAAGAATATCTTCTCCAGAAGCTACTCCAATTTGAAACCCAGCTTCATCAAAATTGATAATATCACCAGGCTGAATGTCATGGGCTTCACACCAAGTCATCCAATTCTTGAACCAATCCTGTACATCCTTAACATCTTGTGCACCGACTCGGTTTCGTGCAATTGGCTTTGTTTTTAGTGTATGAAGAAAACCTGGGGTTGTTTTTATGTAGTTTTGAAACCATCGCCAGGACGGTCGCGGTCTGCCTTCTAGATCCTTTAGGTATTCGATTATCGCAAAGACCATCTGTTTCGTAGCCCCGAGGCCTGTCCTTTGCATATTGTCTGCATATGTAATAATAGCTCCATGTTGTGGCCTAGAGAGGATTCGATTCTGGCCTCCGTGTATTATATGAGGGCGGTTGTCGCGTTGCTTCTTCCATCGTATCCTCGATTTGAGGGTTTGAGGATTCACGTGGAAAATACGTGCAGCGGTAGTCTCACTCTCGTCAGGATTGGCAGTAGCCCAGGCAATTGCCTGGGCTATAGCCTCTTCGTATTCGTGGGTTGCAGGTGGTGGCATTGTTCAAGGTTCAATTGCAATACAAATTGGGTGGTTGAGAAATCTGGGGCGATGCAACTCGCTTGCGCCCACCGCGTAGCGGTGGGTTATTTGACCCACGATTATAACAACAACACTTAAAAATGCCTTAGCTATCTATAATAATTGAATTAATACCTCTTTGCACATATGAGCATTATGTCCAACCTTGTTACATAGCCGCATCGTCGTGGTTGCCCTTTTACACGCTTAGCTCGTACGGTATCACCACCCTCCTTTTGAGTTTGAGTGCTCTGTATGATTTCCTGACCTTCCTTGACTGTAAGGCTTCCACCTAGGTGAATACGCCTTTTTCGCTTGTTTGCCCTTCGCTTTTTAAGTACATTTGCCTCCTGTAATGCTTCAGCTTTAAGGAGTGTAAACGAGTGGGCCATTATTTGAGCTCCTTTAGCAAGCTGATCAAAAGCTTCGTTAATTGAGGTTAGAGAGCTATCCTAGTGTCGTATAATCTGATTCTTAGGGTGTATTGTTTAGAATTTGACCTCTGTCGCATTCTAGGGTGTCTTTAAGGTCTAAGTTTGCTTTTTAATAGGTGGTGGGGTTGGCGTTTTTAGTTAGAGATCAAGGTGCAAAAGGACTCTATTAGGCTCGTACGGAACTATCCCTATAGCTAAATTAGTAGTGTTTATTATAAAGTTTACTCCATTTAACGATGTGATGGCTAGGAGGCTGCTGAACAGCTCATCTACATCTCCTTGTTAAACCGCTAACTTAAAGGTATTTAAAGGTGAACGTGTCCCTCGTTTGCTCTCTTTCGTCTGTTCTTCACCATCTCTTCTCTTTCATGTCTAATTCACTCGATTCTTCATCCCTCCTACAAGCTTTCGCTTGTAGTCTCTCTTTTCAGTCGTTAATACTCCTTGTCTGCATTTTGTTACGATTATAGCTTACAGCTTGTTACAGTTGTTACGGTTGTTACGGTTGTTACAGGTGCAGCCTTAGCCACCAAGGCTACAACCGTAAGCGGACAACTGTATATTACTAGGAATAGCCTCA